AATTTATTATTATTATTATTATTATTATTATTATTATTATTATTATTATTTCCTTTGATTTATGTTGTTTTCTTTCCGGGTCCCCACCAGAGACCTAAATTCAGAAATGTCTTTTTGATATTTCCCACCGATCATTTTTATAAAAAGCAAAAAAAATAAAAAAATAAAATAAAATAAAAAAAAAACAAGATCACACACATTCTTACATAGATAAAGCTTTTCGTAATTCTTGAGTTGCAGTTGTGAGTACAATATTTGTATTTCTTTATGGCATGGGCTACTAGGAATCCCTTCAAGGAGGCTATTGGAACCTTTTCCAATCAATCCGAGTGCTCCATACTCAATTGGAATTACTGATGCCACATTTTGAAAATTTTCATTTCACTATATTTGTATTTTGATAGTTGTTTGATGATCTTCATTACAAACTACAAGGACCGTCATGTCAATAAGAATATATTTTCTTCTCGTGGTGATTGATGCCGGTGTCTGGGCGATAATCTTTGATTGTTTTGTCAGGGTGTATTGTAAAATCTAATAAAAATGTTACAGTTTCTATCTCTGTAACCAGGTCTGGGTGATGTTCATACTAGTGTTCTAGCAGTATCCTTCCCGTAAAAGTGCCATATTTTCCATGGCAGATATTGGCACATTATATCATGCCGCGTTTTATATTCACTGGATGCTGACACTGCACAGGATATTTATCATAAAAGCTGCATTTCGGGTCAACATCATTTTTCGTTATGCGTACTTGGTAATTTCTAGTCAGCAAGCATTGATCCTGTGCAGCATGAATAAAACATTATTATTATTTAGTGAGGGAGAAGCACTTCAACAAGGTAATGGTATGTTACACATATACAAAGCCATAACAATCATGACAGCCTCTTTGATAAGGTACAGTAGGCACATCCACAGCAGCCAAATGATTAAAAGGAACATAAGTCAATAAAGATGCAACTCATTTTATAGAAAATTGGCATGAATAATCTTCAAACTTTTCTCGGCGTATCTGCTTTATCAATCCGTCGTTAACATCGAAGACTGCTACCTTATAAGGAAACAGCTCATATTACCATTATCATTACAGATGAGAACAGATACTATACTTTGATCCCAATAGATGGACCTGGTAGCGAAGTAATGCGTAATTCTAGTATTATTAGCTGCTCGGCTAATGGATGTTTCCTAATAAGGAAGCAGCTAATAGTAGCATTATCATTTGAGATCAGAACAGATACTATACTTTGATCCCAATAACAGTACCTGGTAGTGAAGAAATGTGTAACCCTAGTATTATTCGCTGCTCCGCCAATGAATGTTTCCTTATATGGAAACAGCTAATATTAGCATTATCATTAGAGATGTGAACAGATACTATACGTTGATCTCAAGAAGATTGCCTGGTAGTGTAGAAATATATAGTTCTGTAACAAGTCTCTTTGTAACCAATTCCTTCCAGGTTCTTTCCTTGTTGCAGATTGTCCAATTCAGATATTCGTCCACTCTGTCAGGTTTTATATTTACCAGGTTCTGAAAATGTGCAACCTGATACAAGATGGTCAATTATTTCTGGATATTTATCACAGAATCTATATTTCAGTATGTGTGCTTGGTAATTTTTAGTTAGTAAGCATTAGTCATGTGTGGCAAGAATAAAACTTCCGGTTTCAGATTTAACCCCGCACTGACTAACCACTGACGAGTATGAAGTTTGTTATTATTATTATTATTATTATTATTATTATTATTATTATTATTTTGATTTTTGGCGTTTACACATTTCTTTCCGGGTCCCGCCCAGGGATCTAAGGTTAGAAATTGCATTATGACACTTTCTATTGACCAAAAAAAAAAAAAAAAAAAATTACATAGATAAAGCCCTTCGTAAAGTGTGGGCTGTACTTGTCAGAATATTTTTTGTATCTCCTTGAGGCATGGACTTCCAGGAATCCCTTCAATTAGTCTACTGCAATCTTTTCCAACCAGTCCTAGGGCTCAAAATACAAAAGGGATTGTTGATGTTCCCATATGCCACATTTTCGAGATTCCTATTTCAAGGTCCTTGTATTTTAACAGCTTTTTGAATACCTTCAAAGATACATTGCAGTCAGCAGGGACTGCCATATCAATAAGGAAGCACTTTTTTTTTTGTTTGTGGACTAAGAGACACAACATATTCCTTAGTACATGAGATCTGCCCAGAGATATAGCCACTTACATATTGTGCTGACATACTTTTGCTTACTGAACCGACACAATGTTTTTATACCATGATACATCATAATAATCATTATTATATATATATATATATATATATATATATATATATATATATATATATATATATATATATTAGGAATAAGAATGTCGTTTTGACGTTAAAAATACGTCAAAAACGACATTATTTACGTCATTATTTTTGCACCAACCTAATATATACACTCGTGTAATGCACGATCTTGCGTTTCGTACGACCGAAAAGTTTCCCTTTTAAAATATGATTTTATCATGTATCTCGTGTATCATGCGAGTTCCTTTTTTTGAGCGACCAAATTACAATAGACTAATCTCTTATCCTCCACCTCTTTAACCCATATTCTAGTTAAATAAGTTCAAAAAGTAAAAGAGAACGATAAAAGTATCGTTAGTAAAGCTATACTCGTTGTGTAAACGTTTACAATCATAAACAAGCCAACGAGGAATAGTTAACCATCTTAAAAACGTAAACAATGATTAAGGTGCATATTCGCCATGTTTGTTTTTATAAGTTGATACTAATATACGAATATTACATGCATTATTATTGGATACCGTTAAATAAAACATCAGTTTTATCAACATCATGTTTATTTTAAATGCAGCTGTAATTGTTGACTATAGTAAATGGATATATTTTGCTCAAATGGCGGAGACACGGCTAGCAGTACATAAGCTAATTCTATACTTCGTGTATAAAACGACCCTCTTAAAATTACCTTCAAAATGTGATCTTCACAAGTTATATATATATATATATATATATATATATATATTAAGAATTGGACAAAGTCCAACAATTTATTAAAGACATTTTTATGTTTAACATTTTTTCTATAGATACAAGTATTTAAGTAAATGGTCTGTTTATAATAAACAGTATTAAATAACATTTACCGGCCTGAATGTCCGAATCCTGTCAAAGGACGAATATTTTCTATGAAAATTTCTCAGAATGTTAAACATAAAAATATCTTTAATAAATTGTCGGACTTTGTCCAATTCTTAATGTATGACGTCATTTGTTTACATTTGATACGCCATGAGCAGTTATGAATGTACGAGATTCATGGAAGATTGAAGTTTATAAGCAGTAAATTCGACCTTGCCTACCGAACGCTCCTTTGTGGCCGAGTCGGTTAAGGCACGTCAGCGTAAATGACGTTTCCGTATAGGGATGCAGATTCGAATCTATAAAAAGAATGTTAAACATAAAAATATCTTTAATATATATATATATATATATATATATATATATATATATATATATATGTGTGTGTGTGTGTGTGTGTGTGTGTGTGTGTGTGTGTGTGTCCAATTTCTAGCAGCCAAAACTGTCAAAATGACCAAGTCAGAATCTCCCATCATCTGTATTAGAAACAACTTGAAAGAGAGCGTTTGATCAACAAAACAACTAACCAGAATTAAAGATAAAAAACAAATGAAAAATACAGAAAAAGTTCACTTTCTTCAGAAGCAATCATTCACTCCTGTAGTTCACTGCTACTAACAAGCAGAGATTTTTTTCTCCTGATGATGGCCATGATGGCCGAAACTAGTCGTAAAACCTAATTGACTAATGAAGCAAAAAAAATATTAATATGCAACCCAGAGTCTCTGAAAATATGAGTTTTTAATATTCCTTATCGTTCAACCACCATATATATATATATATATATATATATATATATATATATATATATATATATATATATAATTATATATACGAAGAATCACCCATTATGAGTAATATCGACGCCGTCTATTCTGATTAATTATTATTTGTTTAGACTACTTTTCCGATCATTAATTTTAGATTCCATATATACGGTGTAATTTCTTTCATTCTTTTACATTTCTTGCTCCTTTTTCTTTTTTCTTCATTGTCTGTTTGTTTGCCCAATTCTTTCTCTCTTTCTTTTCCAGCATTTTTTTCTACCTCTTTCAACTTTTTCTTTGTTTCTTTCGCCACCATTTCTATAATTCAGTTATTTTATTTAGTAGTTTGTTTCTTTTCTTTTTCGTCTTTTTGCTCTTTCTTTCTTCCTTTCTTTCTTTCTTTCTTTCTTTCTTTCTTTCTTTCTTTCTTTCCTTCAATTGTTATTATTTTCTTTCTTTCTTTCTTTGACCTATTCTTACCTCCTTCATGTCTGTATTTTTCTACCTTTCTTTCTATAATTATATTTACTTGTTTCTTATTTTCTTTCTTTCTTTCTTTCTTATTCTTTTCTTTCTTCTTTCCTTCCTTTCTTTCTTCATTTCTTTTTTCTTTCTTTCTTTATCTCTTTTTCTTTCTTTCTTTCTTCTTTCCTTATTTTCTTTCTTTCTACTTTTCTTTCTTTCTTCCTTCCTTGCTTCTTTCTTTCTTGAACGTTTTTGCCTTCATCATATCTCTATTTTGTTCTTTCTTTCTTTCTTTTTATTCTTTTTTCTTTCTTTCTTTCTTTCTTTTTTTCTTTCTTTCTTTCCCTCCACCATGTTTGCATTTCGTTCTTTCTTTAATTTCATCATGTTTGCATTTCTTTCTTTCTTTCTTTCCTTTCTTTCTTTCTTTCTTTCTTTCATTCTTTCTTTCTTTACCTCCACCATGTTTGCATTTAGTTCTTTCTTTCTTTAATTTCATCATGTTTGCATTTCTTTCTTTCTTTCTTTTTTTTTCTTTCTTTCTTTTCTTTCTTTCTTTCTTTTTCTTTTCTTTCTTTTCCTCCACCATGTTTTGCATTTTGTTCTTTCTTTAATTTCATCATGTTTGCATTTCTTTTTTTTTCTTTTTTTTATTTTTTTTCTTTCTTTCTTTCTTTCTTTCTTTCTTTCTTTCTTTCTTTCTTTCTTTCTTTACCTCCACCATCTTTGCATTTCGTTCTTTCTTTCTTTAATTTCATCATGTTTGCATTTCTTTCTTTCTTTCTTTCTTTCTTTCTTTATTTATTTATTTCGCATCCCGCATTTCGGTAAACATTTCTTTCCTTATCATTCTGTGGATTAATTCCGTTTCTCTGGCTCGCATTCTCCCCCTTTTATTTCTTTCTTCCTGATTGTCTTTCTCTTTCTTTAGCTTTATTTTTTTTTTTCATTCATTCATTCTTGACTCTTTCTTATTCTGCACCTCGATAAATATTGTCCTTTGACATTCTTCTTTCTTTTCCTCTTTTTCTCTATAACTTTTCTTTCATTCTCAACTTTATTTACTTTTACTTATTACTTATTTTTACTTTGTTTCTTTTTACCCTCTCGCTCTCTTCTTCTTTCGCTTTCTCTACTTCTTTCGTCTTCTTTCTTTTTCTTATCCCTTTTCTATTACATATAATCATCTATATTCTTATCTCCTCTCTTTCAGGTATTCATTCCCGCTTCCTTTCCAGAAAACACCGGGGTAAACGTTACAAATAAGTAAATAGCGAGATAGAATCAAACAAAATTAAATATGAAGTAGTAATTGAATCCCCACCAGTAAAATAAACCAATCGTGCTTCAAACGACCAGCCAGACATTCTATTGACGTTTTCCCAGGATGAATAATTTACATAAACATTGAAAGGAATTGATGGGGAAATGTTTTAAAAATACAAACCTTAAACAATAGGAAAAATGAGGATAAATAAGAAAAAAGAAAACATTTAATGCGTAAATCAAAGAAACAACGCTCGACAGGCGGCGCTGATATTTCTGTAGTTCTTTCGGTAGCCATTTTGAATATTTCGAAGTGTTTGTATGAATAAATGTTCAGTTATCTACAAATATATTGTGTATAATGTGTTAAATATGTCCAATGCTCTGCTTCTCTTACAATAGCTCACTGTCGCTTTCAGTCTGGCTTTCTACCACCATTTTACACTATTCCTTTCTCACTATCCCAACGTCTATATATAGAATACCTTTTTTATGTATGCTCATATAGTTCCATCAATTTTGGACGATATTAGTTAATGACAGATTGTTTAGTCTTTATATCGCTTGCAGCGTAAATTTATCCGTCAACAAATATATTTCTTATAATTTCCATTTAACCCCTTCCCTTGAGTATATATATATATATATATATATATATATATATATATATATATATATATATATATGATATTAAAATAACTGATCCGGTGTAAAACTTTCGGATAATAACTGTGACATTCCTGTATTTATTGAACAATTTAGTTCATGCCACATTGACTGAAAAACCTACCAGTACAAAAGAATTCTCCTATTACCATATTAGTACAAAAAAATTTAAAAATTCAACCTCAGCGTTTCGACTGCACGCTCCCCAAAAATTTCTTACAATTAACAATAACACATTTCTAAAAACATTTTTCGGATTACATCTATTTTTTCGTTGGACTGTTATTACTGAGAAGTAAAAAACAAAAACAAATCTATTTCCATACCTGATGATGTCTGTAGAAACAGATGAAAGCTTGTAAAAAAAAAAAAGACCTTATGCAACTGGAATTTATAAACAGGGATCATAAAATTCATCTACAGGTTCGGGGTTAATGTACTTTATTAAATTTGTTTGCGAAGATATATTCTCGCCATTTATATCATTAACTTCTATATCTGTGTTTTTGTATGAATGACTCATGTAATATATATATATATATATATATATATATATATATGTGTGTGTGTGTGTGTGTGTGTGTGTGTGTGTGTGTGTGTGTGTGTGTTCACCAATAATATCTGTATCAAACACGGGCGAATAAACACATGTTTATACATCGATTTTAATTATTTTTATGCCCTTCTGAAGTTGGAACGATTCCAATTGTCAACTGCTACGTGTGATGGAGGTATGAACCTCCGCTAGGGTACTTCAAGGTACCTCAGATTCTTAGTTACATATAATTACATCTTAGCTACTATATTAAAAACAAATGAAACCTCTGTCCCAAAATAATTGCAGGGATTAACGGAAAATAATAAAATTTCGTTTATATTACCGAGATAAGATATTACCAATATAGTTTTGTAATGAAATTACCAGTAATATTTTTTTTTAATTACCAGAAATACATTTTACCATCTACAAACTATATATAAAAAATGTTTACCTTGAAATGTAAATTTATATTCAAAATATATCCAACTGTAGCCATACAATTGCGTATATTTAGATTTCGGCATTAAATAACCCATACAGGTGTTGCTATGCCGCTAAACAAAATCAACCAACCAACAATACATATTTAAAGCAAAATGACCATAATTATATTTTATCTGTAACTGAAGACATATAATTGCGTTCAAAATATATTTAGTTTAAGCGATATAATTGTGTTCAAGACATTTAGAAATCGGCAATAAATAACCCATAGAGGTGTTGATATGACATTAAACAAAATCAACAAACCAACAATACAAAAGCAAAATGACTAAAAATACATTTCATTTGTAACTGAAGGCATATAACTGCGTTCAAAATATATTTAGTTGAAGCCATATAATTATGTTCAAAATTTAGATTTGGGCATTAAATAACCCATAGAGGTGTTGATATGCCACTAAACAAAACTAACCAAAATTGTTCGCGCGTGCGTAGACAAAAGCTAAAAGGAAATGTCGGCTGTTGACTCGTTAAATCAGTAGGACAAACGGTGACAATATTGATCAATGAATTTAATTCTCTCTATAACGAGAATGTCTCTTGAAGCCACTTGAAATTATTATTGAAGACGTTGCAAACTAAGTTGTTTTTTTAGACAAACACACATTCTCGTGGATTTATTGCCTGGTTTTCACCTGTCCCTCTTATCTTCAATTTATCCTGTTGTTATCAGATTTTCGAAACCATTTTTCTTCATTATGTGCCCTAGATTTTTCAACTGTCTCTTTTTGCCACTAATCTAAGTTTCTATTTTGTATCTGTTTTCTCTAGAACTTCGGCTGATGGTATCCTCAGCATCCTTCTGTATAACCAGATCTCTGTTGCTTTAAATCTGTTCTTCATCTTTGAGGAGATCGTTCATCACTTACTGCCATATCGGTGGACAGATATCTGGCAACAGCAAGAGATTTTTCCATTTATTAATACGCTGCTTAACTTTTGGAATGCATCTTTGGCAATTCCAGTGCGTCTTCAGATTATGGTATCACATATTCTGCCCACTTTTAAAACACTTCTTAAATATTTAAATTGGTTTCCTTCTTTCTTGGTTTCACCGATTTGAAATTGGGGCTTAGAGTTGATCCTTTTCCTAACAGCGGTGCTTTCTGTCGTCTTAAACTTTATACTTAGTATATCTTCTCGAATTCCTTCATTCCCTTTTGTAGGAATTTTGGGAGTTTTCTTTCCAGGTGTGCTATGAACAATATATCATCTGCATATCTTATGTTGCTATTTTGGCTGGCAATAATGAATCCTATTAAGACTTCTAATTCTCTTAGAATCGCTTCGGTGTTCAGGTTGAATGAGTCTGGCAAGAATACACGCCCTTTCTATTTTTGTATATCTGCTGAACTCATTTTCTATCCGTATGCAGGCAGTGTGCAACCAGTATAGGTTCTTGATTATTCTAATTCCCAAATGTGTCAATGTTATTGAACAGTTCCAACAGATCTTTGTGGCGTACTTTATCGAACGCCTTGGAGTAACTTATAAAACCCAGGTACACAATTGTGCAAATTAATTGAAACAAAACAAATAATTCCTTAATTATTTACTTTTTTTTCGTATTATTCCAACGAAATATAACCCAGTGCACATGTTAGTACTTCGTATGTCCATTCCACGAAGTCGTCCCGTGCAGATTGACCCCAGATTCTTGATTAGATTTAAATCAGGAGAGATTCCGGGCCAATCTATAGTACTGTGATTTGTTCACTGGTAAGTGTGTTCCTGCAGCGTTAAAATTTTCATACGCTTCCTTGGAGTAACGTCCATCGCAGACAACGGCAGTAGGACAACTAATCAACAGTCAAGACAATAGTATCTTTGCGTCTTAAAAAACTGATACAATCAAGGTGATGCAATATTTTCAAGGCCAAAAAAATTTCATCATACACCCCAAAAAATAGATTCATATTACTGCACACCACTGCAATCGATTACACCCTGTCACTCCAGTGGGTCTAAAACTAACTGCATGTCGAAAGAAAGGAAACTAAAGCAGTTGTTTCTATTTATTTGTACTCAGTTGTACATGTCTTCTGCATTTGTATTGGCCTCTCCGATATTTTGAGCATAAATAATAACCTGTAGGCGGTTGCTCTCAAGAGTACCGGCACTTCTTTGTCCGTTCACTCTCTGGTAATGACTGCTCAGCTCTTGCGTTGTTGTACTCGCCTGTGTCCGTCTTCAAAAGTCCCTTGCATGATTGTCTTGCAGAGGCTGCTATGCCGTGTGGTCTACCCACCTCCGTTTCTGCTCCCAATAGGAATTGGGTAGGAACAATCACAGACATTTGTTCTTGAAAGCCTGTTTGAGGGAGGAGTGTCCAAGTTTTGCGCCTAAAATGTTTAATATCTAAAACATCACGAAACTAACTGAATTTCTTTTTCCACGTTTTCAGATAAGACGTTAGCTATCTTGATACCATTTGTCGTAAGAATCACTGAAAAACCCTTTGAGTTATTCAGCTAAAAAGAGAGCAAGTTAAAATTGTTTTGTATCAGACCCAATGTCTTCCCTAATGAGCAATGCTGAGAGGAAAAATATAATTCGGGTTTTCAATAATGATGACAACATTTATACTCTAGCTTTCATCTTCAAAGTCTGTTCAAGAACCGTCAAGAGAACGGTGAA